ATATTTAATTAATATCACGTACTATGCATTGCAAATGCACCTATAACTCTTTATAGCAACGATATTCCTAGTGTACAACAGCACAGTCAGATAGAATAAAGAATTCCTTAGTATAGCACGCATTAGTTAAATATTTCCGAATGCCAGCAGGGGATCTTTGTGCTCCGTAAATCAAGTTAGCTATCGAGCAGCGTTATCATTTAATTAAAAACCTAGTCGAATTTTCGGATCCAGCATTTTGAACAAGGGTCGTAGAAGTTGCCGAGTTTTTCACAAGTGAATAAAATAAACTAATTTGTTATTATGTAAAACGTCGTATCGGTACTATTGTCAGGTGTTGTTTTGGAGATTCTAACGTTGCTTTTTTAGGCTGCTACGAGTGGATAAAACGCTGTATTTAAGCCAATCAACTTATTTTCATTTCGGCGAAGCTCGGGTTAATTAGTATTCTTGGAAAGCTGTCGTAAACTTTCCAAAACTAATTGCGTCTTTGTGAATCATACCTTATGAAACAGCTACGAAATACCAAAAGAAGGATGTTCTTATCTTTTCAGTGTCGAGATCACTGCAACTCTTTTGAGGCTTATTATTATGCTTAGCTATTATCCTTCTGAAGATTCACGGAAGTTCACAAAAACCTTTGCGGAGACGTTCCAGCTCACTCTCTATTTACTATTTTGCCAAACTTATGAAGTGCATTTTGGATAAGAAAAGATAACTAAGACAGGGTTTTAATATAAATTATCGTGCATCACAATTTCAAGTAACTGCAGTTAAGGCAGAATACCGGCTATGGAATTAGCTTCTTTCTGGTTGCCTGAAAAAAATGCAGTCTATAAGATGACTATGTATGAGAGTGATTTTTTAAAATTGATCCACTGCCCTTTTTGCAGTCATTTTTTAGCAGCTTCCAACTTCAAAGTTAGTACTTAAAGCAAACGTAGTCTTTGGGTCTAACTCATGAGACGTCTCAAAACTATTTGCACCTTTTAACTGTTCGATAATTACCTTATAATTAAATATTCAGCAATAATACTTATGTATCACTTAACCTCATGGGTTGCTAATTTTGGTTGTAAACAGATATTAAACACAGTGTTTAATGTACATTTTACTAGTTAAGATATAATAGAAAACTGCTAAACAGTAAAACGTGTCTAAGATTATGGTGGCGCGAAGCTTAGAGAAAAAATCTCGAGCTATAGTTTAGATGGAGGCCAGGTGGCTGCGAGTGGAGTTTGCTAAAGCCGTAGGTATATCTACTAAAAGGTCCAAATATTCTTAGTCACAGTATAAGCGGACAATTATTCTCTCAAGGTAAAAGAATTCTGGAGGAGCAAATATTTTGGGGAGAGTTGGTAAACCAAGGCAGTGCACAAGGAAACCGCAACGGAATTGAATGCTAAAGGCCTAACGGGTCTGACATCCAGTATGCACCATTATTTGCAGGAACGTTTGGCTGTTACCACCCAGCACAGAAGGAAAAGCTATGCACTAGCAGAAAAACAGATCAAAGATAGGATGGCCTTTTGTAGGGTTGACAGGAAGTGAACTGGAAAAACAACTGGAAACAAATGGTCTTCTCCGATGAATCGCCGGATGAATTGTTCTATCTGCTAAACACAAAAGTGACGTTTTTTGGGCTCCATGGTTGAGAATGTTTAATTGTCAAAGTTGGTGTGGAGGGCAATGTCCGTTGAGAGGGCTCTCTGACCTCCACATTCGACCACACGGTCAAGAAGTGTACGGTAAATATTATAGGAAGGAGTCTCCAAAGCAAAACCTTTTTTTAAGATTAGAAAAAAACACTTTTGAGAAGGTCAAATTTGGAAATAGACTTTTTCTGGACAGGTCAAGGAGGCATTTTATTCGGGGCAGAGCCACAGCTCATTTGGCTCTGGAAAACCAGAGGCAGCTGCCAGGGAAAATTAAACACCACCAGAGGAAAGATATGTGGTTAGCAAGTAGTCCTGACGTGAGTGCAATTGACAATCTATACCCAATTCTCGGTAGTATGGTTGAAACGTAACTGTCTGCTCCTATGACTGTCGCTGGGTTAGAGAGATCCCCGCTGGACGTCTACAGCAAGAACCTTTCAGAGACCTTCCAGAATCCCGTTCATTCATTGCCAAGCAGGTAAGAACCTGTCCTAGAGGTCAAAAGTAAATTGTGAAATATGCATTTATTAAGAAACTATGACTGTTATTAGGGTGCAAAACAGTTTGGGACGTCCCATTGTTTATAATTATGAAATATTTTGTGACCTCGATATCTCCCTTAATAAGGAATCGTGTCTGCCGATTTATTAATGTTGTTTCTAACGCATGCGGCATGCTGCACCTGCTGCAAAAGTTTGGGCACACCAGGAGACATTGTCATAATAATGTAAGAAACTATGCAGTTTTCTTTAGATTGAGTGTATACTGTGTTTAATTGGGAAGTTCTAACTGCGAGTGCCACGGCAGTTCGGGTTAAGAGTTATTTGTGAAATTTAGAAAAAAAATCATTACGTAGAATAATTTCAAGTTTGCAAAAGTAAGAATTCCGAGATAAGCAT